CTTTTGGGTTTTGACTTCAAATTCAATGCAACCTTTGGAGATTGTTGCTTTGGAACCCAAATTTGCTTCACAGATTTCGACTTCACAACATTTGACGATTTTTGTGAGTAAACCCGCTTGTTTTTGCGTTTAATCTTCTTCTTCTTTTTCTTTCTAATCTTTTTGCATCTTGAAGATTTGATTTCAAGAACACCTTGATTCTTGACAACTTCAATTTGACGAGTTTGAATCAAATCTTTTGGAGTTTGATACTTGTGAATTTCTTGGATCACCGGCTTCCGATAAGGAATTATTCCTTCAAACGAATCACAAGTACACAAAATATCATCGGTTTGAACTCCAATCGAGCAAAGACCTTTTTCATCTTCATTAGAATCAACTTGAACTCCTTTTTATTGAACATCAAGAACATCAAGAACACGATGATCATCATCAAGAACATGTTCCCGAGCTTCATGACAATCTGCATAATATTCAAGTTTATTGCTTCCATATTTACATTCAACAAGAGGAAATCCTTTTATGACTTCACCTTCTTTCTTATTTCTTCGTCTCTCTTGATACGTTGTAATCAATCGATCAAACAAATTTTTGGTTTGATAAATTGGATGACTAATTAATTCTCCAACCTCATTCTTTTCTCCATTTGAAATGAGTGCATCTTCACTTTTCAATCCAACAATCAAGCAATAAAGAAGGGATTCAAAAGTGTATTCACCTAAAAAAATTTCATTATGTATCAACCATTTCTCCATAATTGTTTCTTCCCTTTCGAATCAAATGATATGAACTTGGGTTTTCTAAAGAGAGAAATTGATAATCAAGGAGATCTCTAGAGAGAGAAAGTGAATATGAACCAAATTCTAGTGAGAGAAAGTGGTACAAACAAGTATTCTAGAGATGGATCAAATCAAGGAAACTTTTGATTTCTGGAACATAAAACACTTTCTAAACACGAAGATCAATAAGAACATGAAGAATCACCAAATCAAGAATGCCATCAAGGATCAATTCTTGATCAAACCAAGAACACCCGCTCTGATACCAATTGTAGTGGTGATTATAAGCTCTGATACCAATTGTAGTGGTGTTAATTATGATGACACGTGTGGAATAAGAGAAGATCTAGTGAATCATCATACAAAATCAAGAACACATGAGTAAATAAATCTTTTAAGCTCTCATTAGTTGAATTAGAAAGAGTACAAATGGGTTTTCTAGTTTCTCTCTCTAAAACTAATGCTCTCCAAATGGTTCCTTTCATAATGGGAGTCACTCAAATCAAGAACACCCGCTCTGATACCAATTGTAATGGTGATTATAAGCTCTGATACCAATTGTAGTGGTGTTAATTATGATGACATGTGTGGAATAAGAGAAGATGTAGTGAATCATCATACAAAATCAAGAACACATGGAGTAAATAAATCTTTTAAGCTCTCATTAGTTGAATTAGAAAGAGTACAAATGGGTTTTCTAGTTTCTCTCTCTAAAACTAATGCTCTCCAAATGGTTCCTTTCATAAATCTTTTAAGCTCTCATTAGTTGAATTAGAAAGAGTACAAATGGGTTTTCTAGTTTCTCTCTCTAAAACTAATGCTCTCCAAATGGTTCCTTTCATAATGGGAGTCACTCACTTCCTATTTATAGGAAAGACTCAACCCATTTACACATACAAGAGGGTAAGCATAATACTCCACATCCAAGTGTGACTTTGCACCCTAACAGGGTCTTGCAACTTTATCAGAAAATGTATATTGAGAATGTCCTACGATGCTTCAATATGTATGAGGCAAAACATGTCAACACACCTTTTGCAGCTCACTTTAAGTTATCATCATCTTTAATTAAGTCATATTATTAAGACTGATATGTCGTACATGATACGTGTTCCATACACGAGTGTCATTGGATCTTTGATGTATGATATGATTTGGATGCGCCCTGATGTGGCTTATACAATTAGCATGTAATAGATATATGGAGAACCCGGGAAAAGATATTAGAAAGCATGCTAGTGGATTTTCACTTATTTACATGGTACGTCTTCTATCTGTCTACACTTTGGTAAATCTAATAATGGGCTACTTAGATATGTTGATTCATATTATGGTAAAGACTTGGATAAACAAAGATCCATTACAGGGTATGTGTTTACTTTGAATGGTTGCGCTTTATTTGGAAAGCTAGTTGCTTTGTCTTCTACTAAGGTAGAGTATATGACAATTACATAAGCTGTTAAGGAAGATATGTGGTTGAAGGGATTATTTGGAGAACTTGATGATATAACCATATTATGTGACAATCAGAGTGTTATTTTCTAAAGTAAATATCAAATGTTTCATGACTGAACAAAGCACATTGATATTCACTTTCATTTTGTGCGGAATATAATCGAAAAAGGTGATTGTGTTGTGAACAAGATCAATACGAACTATAATCATGCTGATATGTTCACTAAAATTTTTCCAATAACCAAGTTCAAGTTATGCCTGGACTTGGTGGGTGTTTCTGAATGTAATTAAGCATGTTAGGCTCGTAGTAGGGAGGTACTTTACTTTTCGGAATCAATATTTTCTCTATATGGAGGTTGCATGTATTTATGGAGTTTTGCAGTTTGTTGAGCTATTGGTTTTGACTATTCGTGGAGCATGTTGAAGAGCTATATGTTACTTGCTACATTTTGAAGTCAAGGTGGAGATCATAGGTTTATGCCTGCCAAAATACGACAAACCTTCAATAGTTAAAGGGCCATTTGTGTAACTTTTTATATATATATTACAAATCATACATGATTTGTATGTAGTAACCTAGGACTGTTCTTTTCTTTGGCACCACGCAAAGTGACGGCGACATCAACAAAAGAGTTTTAACCTTGATCTCCAAATCACCATTAAAGCTTATTGTAATCTCTTTTTTCTCAAGCTTTGTAAACACTACAAGTTATAATGGACAGATTCTTGACTTCCTCTGTAACAACCGGAAATTTTTTTAGATCTAACAAGGTCTATATCTTATCCGTGTACCAGTGAATTCACAACATAACTTGATGCAATAGAACTATGATTGTCATGAAGCATGTTTATATAAGATATAATAAGTTAAGTATAAAAAATAAGCGTCAAAAATAAAATAATAGATATACCCAATATCTATGAAGAAAATTGTAGTGATCGGGACAAGGATTCCAAAGATATAAAGAACACCGAAATCCGAGTTATAACGAAGAAGTTATGACCTGTCGAAGTTCGCGACAAAACTGACACGACACCGGGAATCGTAAAAAGTGAGATTACGATAGATTAATTTTTAGACTTAGTAATCTAAACGAAAGTTGTAGAGTACGTCTCCACCTATGCGTGAATATAAAGAACGTCAAAAACGGAGCTCGTATGCAAAAGTTATGACCTTCCGAAGATACAGTTGTCTAAGAGCATGACACGTGTCAGAAACCCTAATCTGACTGGACTCACGACGTGAGCATGAATTCTCACGACGTGAGGAGTCAAAACGCCACTTTTCAAGCCTAGAATGCAGATGACAAGTCTACGTTTAAGGCTCATGACGTGAGCATGTTTGCTCACGGCGTGAGGAGTCAAACAGACACTAATCGATGCTAGAAAACACCTGGGAAGGCTACAAGATGACTCATGGAAGCTCACGACGTGAGCATGTGAGGCTCACGACGTGAGAGACCAAAAATCAGCCTATAAATAGCAAGCTCGACCATTTTACTCCTTCCACCAAATTCTTCTCTCTCTCTCTCTCTATCTATCTCTCTCTCTCTCTCTCGTTTGCTGAAGGTGTTCCGCTTCCCGAGCCCGACGATCACGAACCGTTGACCGTTTCTAGTTAAATTCTAACCGCAAGCACGCTCGAGGTGAGTTCATACCCCCACAGTTTCCAAGTTTTTCTATGTTTTAGGGGGGGGGGGATACAAGTAAAACATAAGAAATCTTGTGTTTAAAAATACAAATCACTTATTATGCTTTCACGTACTATATATATATATATATATATATATATATATATATATATATATATATATTACGCAAAAATGCTAAAATCATTACTACCAAACTTAATAATAGAACTACATTACAATACACTACTATACAATACAGCTGGTGGATTTCAGACACATACATACAAAGGATTTTCATACAAATACGATACAATACACTTATTTTCCTAATACAGTACAACTTACATTTTTGAAAGGACCATTATTGTTAACTCTATGATTACGTAGGGTATATGTTAGGGTTATATACAATGAAGATCCGATAGGCAGTCAAATGTGTGAATTTCGCCTTACTTCCTGTTCCTTGTTTGGTTGTGGGCTTAAGGCAGATCCACCCATTCGACTGTCCGTTCGATTTTGATTATATATAACTCGTATTACAGATGCACCACAACTAGTTTATTTTTTTGAGTTTTTTAAAGTTTTTCATATTTAGCAAACAAAAAATAGTTTAAAAACTAGTTTTTATTTTTATTTTTAAAGTCACTTAGACTAGTTTTTCAAGAACTTTATTTTTTTTTCAAATATATCATTGATTAATTAATTATAAAAATTATATTTTTCTAATTGTTGTTTTTTTATGTCATTTTATATCTTTTAACTAGTTTTTCATCTAATAACTAATTTTTAAGTTATTAACTAATTTTTCAACTACCAAAGGGCTTCTAGCCCAACGGTATTCAGTGTTGTGCTTCCTTCTTGAGGTTGAGAGTTCAAGTCCTATTATGAACATAGATAAATTTAATGAGTAATTTAGGAGGATAGATTTACATTTAAAAAAAAACTAATTTTTCAATAATATGCCCTTACTTGTAGAAAACGGGCCTTAGTTGGAAGTTGAAAAAGTACCAAAAGTAGTAGTCTTGGGCCCAATCTTGTAGATGGTAAATTAAGCACAAGATCTACGAAAATCCAACTAGCCTTTGTTCACATCGTATATACTACTATATAACTATATATTGAGCCTAAAACTCGAAGGTTTTCACTTTTCACCATCACGTTGTTCTTTCTTCTTCTCCTATGGATTTCGAATCCAAATACGAGGTTTCGCGCGTGGCCACCTTCATTCGCAGCAATAACTTCAAAAGGGTAGCTTTACAGGTACTCCATGTATGGGTGCTCTGTTCAATTTTCATTTTCTAAATATTCAGGCAAAAACCCTAGTACATGAAGCAAAGTGGACTTCGCTTCAACCAGATTAAACGCCGATTTTTGCTGATTTCCTAGCGTCTCTGCTATAGAGTTTGTTTGTTGGTTTATAACTTTTTACGGAATTAGGCCTAAACTTATTGTTTTATTTTCTAAATAAACAACTGGTAGTTCAAAACTCCGAATTGAGATGTGTGAGTTTTGCCATGTGAAAAGAAAGTTAGAACAGTTTCACGTTGATCTGTTAATAATTTCGAGACTGACTCAATTTCTTTAATGTTTAGTTCCCCGATGAGCTGCTAAAGGACTCCACTCGAGTTGTGGGCGCTCTACGTAATGCGCTTTTTGGGTTATGTTGCAAAGGAGACGATAACGAAGTGAAGGATATTGGGTTGTATGTAATGGCTGATACTACTTATGGTAGCTGCTGTGTTGATGAGGTTGGTGCATCTCACATTAATGCCGACTGTGTCGTTCATTATGGACATACCTGTCTAAGCCCGTGAGTACATTACATTTATAGTCTTTTTAGGTGCTGTTTCTTTTTGACTTAATGGACTCAAACCAGCAAGCTAAGTAAGCTATACATGAGCGAGTGTTTCTTTTGCAGCTGGGCAGTTAATAGCGCCGAGATCTCGGTGAGATCTCGGTGGGATAACGTTTTGTTGGCAAAATAGCGGTTTCAAATAGTGCTCAGAATAGCGGAGCCGCTAATATCGCCGGGATTAGCCGAGATTGGCCGCTATTTTCCGCTATTTCGACTCCGAGATCTCGGTTTTTGACCGCTATTTCACAAAATTGATTTTAGCTATGCCGATTGCTTTTTATTTCTGTTTCTATCGCTTTTTTCCTTCTTCTATGGATTAATTTTATATAAGTAAACAATTAACTTATTTATAAGGAAGATTTAATTGATTGATTTTAGTTAATTCAGTGAATTGATTGGATTTAGATTTTGGAATAGAGGAGTTGCGTATTTCTCCTTTATTAATTAATTAATGATATATATATATATATATATATATATATATATATATATATATATATATATATTACATGATATTTCAAAAACCGCTATCCCACCGCTATCTTACCGCGAGAACCGCTATTTTAAATCACGGCAAGTGACCGTGATTAGATTTTGGACCGTGATAACTGCATAGTTTTGCAGAAAGATCGACTTAATAGAGAGGTGTTGCTATTAAGTTGTAATTTTCACAAATTTGCCCTCATTTGTTCTTGCCCTCCCTTTTCCCCAAGTGGGTTGTCCTTTTCCAAACATCATTTATTCAGATAACAGTTTATCTGGACAACACTAAATGGGGCAAAAAGAAACAGAAGTTGTTGAGATACACAGGGGATGTTTTTTTACTTAATGTGCTTAATGGGTTGGTTAAGCACTTAATTTAGTAAGCTAAAAAACCTGGCTTAATGTATGAAGACATCAATCCTTTACCTAACTTCCCTTCTTTTTTCCCTCTAAACTCATCTCATGTTACATTGATGAATATTGTTCCATTTTGCTGTTGGAATAGAAGGGTAAAATGATCATTTAGTCTTGTTCAAACGGTTTATTCAGTCTAGAAAAGAAACAAACTTTTTTTTTTTTGTATACAACACTTTATCCATACAATACAAACATCATTATCCATGTAGCCACTTTCCCCATACAAGACATTATGGGGAAAAAAAGAAACAACCCCATATCTAATTCTTTTTGGAATAAGTGCTATTAAGCTGAGTTTCATTGTGTGTTGCTCTTCATATTAGGACAACAAAACTTCCTGCATTCTTCGTTTTCGGGAAAGCTCCAATAAATGCATCTGACTGCGCCAAACATCTGGGCAATTATGCATCGTCTAGTACGAAACCTGTAATGGTAAGTTGAGTAACTTTACTTTTTTGAACCTGTGGTGGAAAGTCGATTTTTTTTTTTTTTTAATTATAAATTTTGAATTTGGTTTTTAGATATAGGTACTAATCACTTCCAAAACAATTTAATACAAATTTTGTTTCTTTTGATTGGGAGTAGTATCTAAGGTCAATAATCATTCAAGTCATGATGCCGAACTAATAGATGCACATACCATCTTTTCCTTGGGATTTTATAGTTCCCAACTTGTACAGTTTGTAACTCTTAAGGGTCTGTTTGGTTTGATGGAATAGAATGCCAAGTAATGGAATGAGTGATTACATTCCATTATATGATGATGTTTGGTTAGCATGTAGTTTCATATAAATTGCAATATTACAGTTTTACACATTCTTTAGCTATAATGAATAAACTTTTTTATTTATTATACCCCAAATAAGATTATAATTAAAATATATTTTCTAGTTTGTTTTGGAAAATAAATTTGGTGAAAGATTTGTGTCCATTAATAAAAGTGGGTTATATTGCATTTTCTAATTGAGAATTAAGGGATTCCTTAAAGAATTTTGGTTCCATCAACATTTATTAATACAGTTTTGTCGGTGACTGAATGAAGGTCCTTTTTGGATTGGAATATGAGCATGCATTAAAAGATATCATAATAGAAGCATCAGCATCAGCAAGATGTAAACTGCATTTTGCGGATGTTATGAGTCAAGCTATGATTCCAAGTCCAAGTCCAACAAAAGGTTCTGAAAATGCAGCAACAACTTATAGGATCGGGGGATTGTTTTGGAGTTTAAATGAGGGTCACACTATGGATGACTACTCATTGTTTTTTATCGGGCCTGATAATTCAGCTTTTGCGAATGTTGTACTTACCTTCAACAGTTGTGAAATAGGTACTCAAATACTTTTGACTTAATGAGCTTAATGAGTTAACTACTCTATCTTCTTTACTTAATCTGGACAAAATGACTACTTAATGTATTAACACACTGACCCTTTACCTATCTACCTATCTACCTTAAACACACATCATTACTCATTCATCCACTTTACCTATACATGACTTTTTAATGGGTTCCCTTGAGACCGATTTCAAATTTGTGTCCCAACTATAAAGTTGGGACAGGGATAGGGGACTGGCTTCTGATCTCGTCTGTACCTGACTATCTATATATACCTTTAAGCAACTAATTATCTGATTGTGATTATTTTTTCTTCTGATAATTAGTCTTTTTTTTTTTTATCTCATTCATCTATTTATTTATTTATTTGTTTTTGGGTAATTTTTTAGTCAGATACGACGCAACAGAAAATAAAATGTTAACAGATACGTCTCAACAACGAAGAATTCTCAAGCGTAGGTACTTTTTATTGCTTAACTGTCTGTAGAAAAATTGAAAAAAATATCTATGTTAATGTTACTACTACTCGAACAGTCTCTCATCTTTATAATGTTTATGCAGATACTACCTAGTTGAGAAAGCAAAAGATGCTGAAATTGTTGGAATATTGGTGGGAACACTTGGTGTTGGTATGGTTGTTATATTTATTATATATGAGCTTATCTGTTGCATTTGTTACTTGAATCACGTAATAATAAAGATGTTATTTTGATTGATTTGTTGTATATGCATGCAGCTGGATATCTAAGTATGATCCATCAAATAAAAGAGATGATTACAAGAGCTGGGAAGAAGGCCTACACACTTGTCATGGGAAGACCAAATCCTTCAAAACTTGCCAACTTTCCAGAGGTAAACTTTACAATCTTCTTGTAAATTATTATCAATTATTTTGTTGTGTGGTTCTTCTGTTAACTTTATTTCCAGTTCTTGCAATAATTATCATCATGGATCCTGACTATGAATATTACTAAGGGCATTTTTGGTTAGCTCCATTTTGGCATCTGGTTGCATATGAGTACAAAATTGAATTCCATTGGTTTCCTTCTTCCGTAAACTCATGAAATGTAACTCCAATCTTTCCTCATTTATATAAACGACCGGAATCCCATTTCTGAACCCTATTACTAACATTGTGGTTTTCTCTTTTTCTTATTCATTGTTTTAATATCTGTTTTGTAATTTGTTTTTATGTGTACTGATATGAATTATTACCTAAAATAAGTTTCATGAAGACGAAGTGATTTAGATATTTTTGCAACTAAGTATTTAAAAAAAGTTCGTGAAGAAGAAATCTGAAAAGGCCAGTTGTATATTTGCCACTATTTACATTCCAAAATCCAAATCCGCAGCAGATTTACATTCCAGTTCTTGCAGATACCAATTCCTTTAAATTCCAATTTTGCAGTGTAATGTCTTCATCTATATCTCTTGTGCGCAAACTGCTCTTTTGGATAGTAAAGATTTCTTGGCTCCTGTTATTACTCCTTTTGAAGCTATTCTCGCTTTCAACAGGTACATTCCAAAATCACTTTCAACTTTTAGTATTATGGAAAATTGCAGCAAAATAGCAACATACTATATAAGTCATGTATGCTATTCTTCACCTGTGATAGAAATGTATCTACTTTTATATACCCATAAAAGCTACCTACTTAAAAAAGTTTCACTGATAAAGCTTTATGTTACCCATGATAGCAATTTACTTACACATAATAGGCAGCAACATATGTACAATTTCTTCCTCATAATAGCAATATGTAACAAATTTGCCTATATTGGTTTCAAGATAAAGAACATTGCTATTGCCTATTGCTATTATAAGTAAAAAATATTAGGACATTACGACTATCGCTAAATAAAATGCTATTATGAGAAAAAAAAGTAGGTTGCTTGTAAAAATATAGAGTAATATTGGTAGCAAAGAGTAAAGTAGGTTGCTATGTTTCTTAGTATTAACATAACATATGTTACATGTTTCAGGGGAAGTGAGTGGACCGGAAAATACATAATGGAATTTCAGGAGTTGGCTGCGGTGGGTATAGACATGCCCATGCCAAGAAAAGAAGCACGGTTTTCATTCCTTGAAGGTGGTTACATAGAAGATCCTGATTTGCAACAAGGTATTTCTATTTCTATTTCTATTTCTTTTAGGCCACATGTGACTTGTGTGAGTAAGATAGAAATTCCCACTTTTTATCCCACCCAAAAATGGTACACTACTGTCTCTACAAAAATATTCCTAGAAAGTAGAAAGTAAGTGTCATCCTCTTAATTATTTTCTATATTAAACCATTTGTTAACTGTTTTTAAAATCAGTTACCCAGTTTTAAGAAGGGGCAAAATGCAGAAAAAAGCACATTTTACATTCACCTTTTTTTTTTTTTTTTTTTTTAATGAATACTGTCTATAGTAATAGCCCAGCAGCTCAATCGATAAAAAGAAATAATTCAATTTGTAAATCGATAAGATGCTGTTAGTGGGTTGTGCTTTCCGTATTTTACCCTAATCTTACGTAAAATGGAAAGATCTTTTCTTAGATGGTTGAAAAAAATACAATACTATAGATTATAACTGAGCGACTAAATCCATAAAATTGTAAAAGTACAAGTTAAATGTTCTTTTGTTGTCGGGTTGTGGAGAAGATGTGAAGTTTATGTGCAGATAAATAAAGGATTCTCTTTCATTGGTATTTTTCGGCATCTTACTTGGCTGTAATAGAAATTATATTATTGTTTTAAAGACAAACATATCCGACTTTTTGCATAAATAAGACTAGATGCAAGAAATAACAACGTAAACGTATCTATCTCCATTATTATAGCATTCTACTTTCATTTCCTTCAATTTTTCTCGTATGAAGGCATAAAAGTCTCACTTATATAGCATTGCAGTTATTTTATTTTTTGTTTACAAAATCTATCCAATTATTATAACATTAAAAATTGTTTTGTATTAGGATGATGTTGATATAATTGTGCAAAGTACATTGCTACTATTTACATTTAGTTTAACCTTTGTTTTTATTTTAAACCAGATATCAATGGTGAAGATGAAAATGGAGTTGTTTCTTTAGTGAATGCACAAAGTGCACTGCAGGAGCGTGGTAAGGACATGGTTAAGGGAAGCGCAAGGTCAGGGTTAGAGTTTTTTGCTTCTCGGTCTTTTCAAGGTCTTGACATCAAAAATAGTAATAATAGTAACGGGCCAGAGCCATTCATAATTGGAAGAACGGGTAAGGCCTCGGGCTATGACAATGAAACAACCAAAAGCTCTACCTAGATCCAAATCTTTTAACTGCACTGCGCATATTGCTTGAATTCAAACTTTACATTTTTTTTTAGTTTGCTTGCTTTTATTGTTGTTGATATGAGCTAAATGGGCATTATGTTGTAAACTTGTAATTCAGGTTCTTATAAACGAAATTGGATATTCATTCATCATACTTGTTATTTCTTTCCCTAACTATGATCAAGATGATAATCCATCCATACTTGAGATATTAGGTTCAAGCCAGCTGAGGCCATTTTGATTATCTTTCTCATCTTCTCATGTTGGTTGTTGACCAAAGCATCTGCTTGTTTATTATGGAGACTTGGCATATTGAATTACAACGAATAAAACATCATAATCTTTTAATAGTGGAATATGATGTGATGTCATCTAGCACTTGCTTTTGAGTGTGGATGTGGAATCACTAGCCATATGTGATTTGCCTTTGTCGCAACATTTTTAATTGAAGCGAACATGAAAGTCTTAATAGAAATTGACTTGTTGTTTTTAAGTCTTTTTGACATTCACAACAAGCTTTTGAATTTTGATTGCTATTAGGAAATCGACAATAGTTGCAGTTGTTTGGTCAACTGACACATTGTGGAGATGGAAATTTTCTCAAAGTAATTTGAATAGGGAAATTACCAATTTAGCATGAGTAAATCTTATATAAATTGGACAGGTTTTCAATTTCTTTTTACCATAACCCATCTTCTCGGTCTTTCCATGAAAGTAAATCTTCAACTTGCGGTTTTACTTTAATGGAATAATCAATTGATATAGGAGCATGACTATATTTGACATCACAGTAGTTTGTTGTCCTCATATATATTCATCACTGGCTTCTGCTTCTTTTTAAAATTAGTTTGAACTTCATGAGGCATTTGAGAACCAGGTTTCATCATGCAAACATTTGTTGATCATCAATAATTTTAGAAGCTGCTCTTCTTGTAGGTAAGCACAAACTTGTGATAACTTGCTAATTTTGTTAAACTTTTGTGTTGCTTATTTGGCCTTTTCTGTAAGTCATTCATTTTTAGTCATTGGACTTTTTCTTTCGTTTTATTTTACTCATTATACTTTGATTAAGCAATCATTAATGATTGAACTTGTCAATTTTTTTTTCTTATTTTAGTCACTTTAACTGTTGATAGCCAGTATTGACGGCGTCGTTGACACATCATTAGTTATTGAACTTGCTTTTTTTTAGTCACTCTTGTAAGTGATGTGTCAACATGGAAAGACGTCGTCAATGTTACAGTTAGTCATTGAATTTTTTTGAGTGTTTATATTCTGTTTAAACTACTATGGGTCACCAGACTTATTTACAATTTTCCTTTTAGCCAATCTATTTTTCTTTTATATATATATATATATATATATATACTACTTTTTTTCTTTTTCCCATAACTAAACTTGCTATGTCAATTCTTTTAGAGTAAATGATACAAATGATCCATGTGATTTAGGGTAGCTTGGGCATTTAATCCTTAACTTTTTTTTTTGTTTTTGTTTTTTTGTTTTTAACTTGGAGGATCCTCATGAAGTAAATACTATTTTTCCATCCTCCACCCCATCGTTTTTTTCACCACAAGAAACACACCCAATCACCATTAATAATTTGTTTCACTTTGGCGGTTTGGCCTCCTTCACCCTCTACATTTTGATGTCTAGAACATTAACGTCATATTGTATCATTCATCATATGTATTCTTGGAAGAAGACGTAGACATGGCGTCGATGGCGATAACTTTGTGCGTCTTTCCTTAGGATGATGACATGTAAAGCCATCATGGCAAAAAGTAGCCACCTTATTTGGTTATGAGCTATCATTGGTTAGAGTGACTAAAATGGAACTAATAGTACCTAAAACAAAGTGTAATGATTATACACTCAGAAAAGTTCAATGACTAATTACAACTTTGACATCATTCCATGTTGACACACCATTTATATGGACTATCACTTGTTGGAGTGACTAAAATGAAGATAATAAACAAGTTCAATGACTAATGGCGACTTAAACAAAATATAATAACTAAAATAAAACACCTAGAAAAGTTCAGTTACTAAAAACGATCTAAACCCTATTACAAATCAATGAATCATTTTAAGACTGACTTAAGTTTTGCAAAGTCGGGTTTAATTTTTGGGCAACTTGTAAGTCCATATGTAGCCCCTCAAACATGGTTGGTTCCTTATTATCATAATGATTTACAAATTTATAAACTTGATATAAAGTGGAAGAATCTCAATTAGTTGCATTGTAATTTACAATAACATCCTTCATGCCCTTCTCAAAGTTGTTTTTCTCTTATGTTCTGGCCATGAAATGCATGTTAGGAACATGCACTTCCTCATCCTTAGATGACGAATCTTCTTCTTCTAGTCGTTGGATTCAACAACTAAACATTTGCATATACCATGCTTGTTTTTATAATGAGGCTACCGCTTTCTAATGTTGGATTTAGTCAGCTCGACCTTGTAGTTACCTGATGATGTTCAATCTATCCATACTTGAAGCACTAAACTGTAGAAACATGAAATTTGGACCTGGTCTTAGCCTTTTAGTCCTATAAATGGTTGGATACAAGTGAAAGATCTATATGCTCAATAATCATTACAGAAAGATATTTCATAATAAAATATGATCATATAGGGCCACACCTTATAGCAATTAGACAATTACTGATTATTTATTAGAATTTTGAATAATAATAAATATTATCAACACTTGTATTAAATCAGAAAATTATAATTTTATGAAAATAATATTTTCCAAGAAAGAAAATAAGTAATAGCTCATAAGGTATGATTGTATGTTGTGTATATTATTTTGGATTAGTTATAGTTTATTAATAAAATACATGCACATGTTAATGAGATGGAGTAAAACACACTCAAGCCTCACACTTGTTATTTAAATATTGTGGGCTCCGTTCTCTAGTAGAAAGTTGAGTGTCTTTCATGCTCTTACACCCATGCTTCTTATTTGAGCCATGCCTTTCATTTATTGCAAGTATGGTCCTTAGTAGCTAAGTGCACACATAAAAGGAAGAAGAAATGGCTTGCAAAAGTTTATGTTTTTCTTCATCTTTCTCTGTAAAAGTTATGGGTTTCTTCAACCCTTCTTCTTGATTTTCTTTTGAAGAACTAGTGAGTAGTTTGGTTGTTCGGGTGATTCTCCTTAAGTCTAATTTGTTATTAGTTATTAAAGGCTTATGAAGTACTCAATACAAGAAAAGAGTATCATCTTTGGTGGTTAACACTTTCTTGGGTGGATACATATAGAAGTGCTATTGCCATCTTCTACAACTTCCAAGCCCCCATTGAGCAATCAAAGTATACAGAGATTGTAATTCTTATCATCTTATGCTTAGTTTAATTTTTCTATGTTTGTAAAATGATCCTTGATGGGTAAAAAAGGTTTTATGTTTATTCAAGTTTTTAAAGCTTCCGTTTCTGTTTTTAGAAATCGATTCTGAATAAAACCAACAATTGGTATCATAAAAAGTGAAATAGAGATCGATTGCTTTTTAACCAAAGCCATGCAAAGAAGAATCAAAGTACTTGTAAATACGAATCGGTCGATATACAGAACGTCGAGAACGAAGTTCGTATGAAGAAGTTTGATTTATAAAAGAATATTTACACAGTAAAATAAAGTATAAATTATATATATATACATATATATATATATATATATATATATATATATATATATATATACACACACACACACATTGATAGTCATTAAAAAGGTATTGCCGATGTGGTCGATATAAGACTAATATTGAATACTTTCGATATTATTTTAGTACAAATATCATTAAATCATATATATATATATATATATATATATATATATATATATATATATACATAAAGGGTCGTTTGGTCGTTTAAGTAACCATAAGGAAGTTTTCGAAAATCCATTTTCTATAAATAAGAGGCTAGCCTCTCATATTTCTTGCACCATTCTCTTGATTAAAGAGTCTTTCCATGCTTACCCTCGTGCATTTCGGTCCCTCGTGATTCGACTTCTCTTTCTGTAGTTTTAGTAGTATTGTTAGCAGAGCGCTGGAAGAATCTTTCAGAAGAAAGATTTAGCGACGAATTTCTGCCCGCAGAGTTTCTAAGTTTTCGCTAGACGATCTCGTAAGATGAGTTACACTTATTATGCTTATTAAGTGTAATTTATATTTGTGTTCAGCGTCGTTGTTATGAACCTATAAATAAGATTTATCAGTAATTCCAGTAATAATACTGATTGATCTACTTAAAGTGGATTTTCCAAACAATATACTCTATATACCAAACAGATCTTACCTCCGATACGATCTTGCCTGGTCATAATTTATCAACCAGAGCTTGATGTGTTCTTTGATATTATTGAAGAATCCGGTAACAACAATTAATATAACCTTTATAAATATGAACGAATATCGATGCTTAATAATATTCATATTTAGGTCATTTAAATGGGAAAACTGAAGTGTCAGTTAAGGAGCTGACTATCTTGTAAATCTTCCACCTCAATTAGGTGAGTACATAGTTACTTTCAAGAAGATGATCTAATACAAGTATTTACTAAAAATATTAAATAGAGAAATTAAATATCCTCCTACTTTTCTTCCCAAATATCTTTCTACCCATTTGAAATGATGACAAGTGTACTAAAATATAATTAATTTTATCAAAATATGACACTTGTCACTATTTTACATTGGTAGGAACAGTGACGAATCCGGGATCAAAGTAAATGGGTATCCCGAAAAAAAAAATCACATAGTACACAATAAGAAAAAAAATCCGGAAAAAACGACACTATTAAATTTTTTTTAAGGGTATCCCGGGCTACCCCGAGATATATACTAGATCCGCCGGTCGGTAGGAAATAAGTAGGAAGAAAAAGTAGAAGGTTATTTAATTTCTCATAAAAGAAATACCATCTTTTGGTAATTGGATTTGGAAGGACTATTGTTCGGTAAATAAAATTTGTAATCACTATGGGCGTGTTCGGCAAAACTAGCTGGTAGCGGGTAGCGGATAGCTTGTAGTTTGTAGCGTTTTGTTAAACGCTACATGAAGTAGTTTTTGGATTTGGAGCGTTTTGTTTAAACTAAACGCTAGAAGCTTGTAGTGCCAAACAAAACTTTCTGTTCAA